CAAAAACATCGTGAGCATATTTGGTGTGTAGTAATTTAATAGGACAAGAGAACAGCTTCCTTAATCATATTCAGTATTGCCGTCATTTGGAACATGTTACCGGGATGTAAGATTCTTACATTGGATCTTCAAGTTCTGAATTCTCTCTGTAAATCAACTTAACAAACCCGTTATCCTTTCCGTTAAACATGCCTTGACCCTTCAAGCAATTTTAATAATTTAGGTTAGTCTAATAGAAGTATATCGAGTTAAATGCATTGGTCGCTGTCAAATTTCAGCTACCCTTCAAACGCCAAGTATATCCAGCTCAAGAGCTAAAAAGAATCTTAAATAACTTACCATTAAGGTCCTGTTGTTTCCTAGCATGATGGGTGTGGGAAATGATCTATCCATAGTAGTAGCACCAACAGTTATAACCCAGGGTGCAACATCCTCTACCGTTTGTGCAGTTGGCCCTGAATTTCCTGCTGAACAAACCACTGTTATTCCATTTGCAACAGCATGAAACGAGCCATAGTAAATTAGGTCACGCTTGTCTATTTCGGGGTATAACGGTAAGTCGAGGCCCAGTGACAATGACAAAACGTCGACCCCGTCATGAATTGCTTCGTCGAAAGCTTTGAGAATGTCAGCGGACGTCCCTGCTTCGTGCCAAAGCACTTTATATATGGCCAGACGAGCATGAGGTGCCCCCCCACGAGCAGTACCATAAGCAAGTCCTCCAAAACTCACATTATGCACGAATGAGCCGCCTGCAGTACTGGCCGTGTGCGTGCCATGTCCAACTGAATCTCTTGCTGATAAGTACTCGTTGAATTCGGTTACATTGAAAGGTTCTCCAAGTGCTGCTTGAAGGCCATCATAGAAGAAACGAGCTCCAATTAATTTTCGATTGCAGTTTTTTGCTGGATCAAAGTGTTCGCCCTTTTGACAAAAGCCTTTCCACCTTGATGGAATCGGCCCTAAACCTTCGTCATTAAAAGATTCTGATTCTGGCCATACACCTGCGAATTGTTTATGCGTGTTACTTGGTACCACACAGGATATGGCATGATTTTTTTTATTTAGTTTTTTTAATTGAGTACTGTCCAGTCAAATATACACACACCTGAATCAAAGACGCCTATTATGGCATCCTCCCCTAATTTTGTTTCGTGCAGGAGATTTGTCGGTGAGGAAGATGAGAGGCCAAGGTAATCCCAGCTTCTTGTTGTTTGCCGCTTATAGAAACGATTTGGGATAACATGAACCACGCCGGGTAAATCTAAAATGGAAGGAAAATTTCATCCAGATTAGAAGCAAGAGAACAAGATGTGACATTACAAACAAGTATGAATAATGGTGTTTGAATCCCTTGCCAGCTTTACTTTCAATACTGTTTCATGCCGTTGTGGATATCAGGTAGGACTGGATTAGAATACAGTATAATGAATGACATTTTAGATTGTTTTTGTTCCTTAAAACTCTCAAATGTTATCCAAACTAATATTTCCTCATCATGTCAAATTCCCTTCAAAAGAACCGAACATGGATTAAAAAGAAAAAATATATATATTAAATGTGTGCGCTACACAGCCCTGTGAAAGATCAGTTGGATCAGTTTACAAGGTCATCCTTGACTCAGAGATAAGAGATCTTTCGAGTCATGAGAATAAGCAAGAAGCTTGACAGATCGATGTCAATCAATTTTAATGCAACAACTGCTTTAGTAAGAAATTCGTTTAAGGTACCTGCAATACTTTGGGCTTGAGAATCTGTCAACTTGGCTGCAAACCCAGAGAATCCATGTCTATAACTGTATATCATCGAATCGACTGATGCTTCTCTACTGCAACAAGACAATACATTGAAAAACTTAATGAATAAAAGATTCAATTATCTTGTCCATTTTCATTTTAATTAACTAAAAAACACAAACAGGAAACCAAAACTTCTATATGGTATCTAAATTCTAAAATCCATGTGGTACCTTCCCAGAACTGAAGAAAGCAAATCATGATGGCTAGATGTTGTAAGCTCTATGTCATTGTGCTGCCTTTCTCCCATATAAACAATATGAACCTGTTTATTTATCCCATAAATTCATTCGTTAATCGAAGCACAGATGAATTAAATCAAGAAACAGTGAAATGTTCTTTTATATAGATAAAATGAAAGCAACGCGATATATAGATATAGATAATTGGGCTACTGACTTTGCTTTCAACATTAGCCCAAGTTAGAAATATATCTGCTACAAACAGGAGAGCAAAAAACATCAGATGGATCGAAAGGAAAGACATGTTGGTTATTCTAAACAGACGCCTCATTGTTGTACAAGTGAGTAGCTGATCGATTACAGGTATTTATACTAGCAATTCTTACAGACATCATATTTGTGTCCACGTTTATCCATACTAAAACAATGACCGAATCTTCTTATTCACCCCCAATAAGACTTAGAAATTGATTTCTTTATAGCTGAATGAAAATGGTGCAGTAACTTCTTCTGCAGACTTTTGATGCATCGTCAGGAAATAATCTCTATATGAGATGCGACAACTAGCATTTTTTTATTCCTTATGACACGGAGGTTTTTTTTTTTGGTTGTTACAGTCGACTCCAAATTCATTCAAAAACAGGCTTAATTTGTTGCTAAAGAAAACAAAGTGAGCCTTGTTCTGGTAAATTTTGGGTCATTATTCTCTGCTCTCAGTTCATCTTTGTCCCTTTAACCCGACTGTTCAAAAGTATTTTCCTA